TTACAGTACAGCAATATATCAAAATTTATCATATCGTGACTCCTGTATCATCACCAAATTCTTGCCCCAGGCCTAGTTTTTATACACACAAATTCTTCAAAAGGAAGTAAAACCTACTGGAAGTGTAACCCTAAAATAATGTTCATTTGAAGGGCTTAAAATGTCCTGATGCATGCCTCCAATGTCTCCAGAGTGGGAAAAAAATGCGCTACATAAAAAAAGCTTTTCAGTAACAAACCAATGAAAATCAAATACAGCTCCTATGAAACACGGAGGATTAACAGAAGAGGTTCTGTGGTATCTTTCAAGTACTGGTTTGCTCGGCATAAAAAGCTCACATCAAACATTTCTGACAGGAAGCAGCTCAGCAGTGAAGCACGGTGGTGAAAATGTCATGGTTTGTGGTCATTTAAATGCTTCAGGGACCATGCTGTCAATGACTCAAATAGGTTTTTCACATCATGTGAAGACATCCGACAGCCTTCAACAGGAAAAAAAAACAAGTGCTCCGGTAAATGTACAGAGAAATAGAAAACGAGGATTACTGAAAAACTAAAAATAATCCAACTGAAACATCGTGATGCAATTTAACATCCACAATGCAAGAAACATAAGGGTGCACTTCATTTTTCTATATTATTACATTAAGTTTATTTTATTCTTCAGTTTTGCTGAAAGGGTCAGCAGTTTTTATGAGCAGCTGAAAAAACCTCCACCTACTTGATGAGACAGTCAAACTGCTCTTTGCATTCTGAACAGCCGAAGTCTGTGGTCCACGCGTGGCCRATGGTGAACTTGTGGAACTTCAGCATGTCCATGACTCCCACCTGAGCCACAGCGCAGCCGAACAGCTCGGGTCGCTGGTTCACGCAGGCCGCTGGGGGGAGGAAGCACGCAGTTCCAAACGTCACCGAGGTTCAAACGGCCTGATGCGTGTGAACGTTCAGGACAACTCACCGACGAGCAGGCCGCCATTAGAGCCTCCGTTTATGGTCAGCCTGGAGGGAGACGTGTATCCTTCCTTGATGAGATACTCAGCTGCACACTGGAAGTCTGTGAAGCAGTTCTGCTTGCTTGCCAGCATGCCAGCTAGAGAGAAATATATCTGAATGAGCCATTTGTGTTGATTTTATTTCACACGACTCAAACAAGTCAATAGATCAATTCGTAGTTATGGGTAATAGCAGAGCCTAATACCTAATTTACACTAGATGTGGTTCTGCTCCACTCCACTGCCGTGTGCAGGAAATGCAAGATTGCACAATAAATCCAATGATAAATTGGAAGTCAGAGAAAAATAATTAATTCTGTGGAAGACGAACTTCAAAACACAGCTGAAACTGCATCACTGTCGTCCTTTTGAAACTTCTGATTTCAAAATAAAATCCATGTCTGCATATTCTACACGCTACATGTTGTCTTCTGCTACCCAAACAGAACAATACATTCTGACATCATTTGTGTAGAAATATATACATATATTTATTAATGCAGCTGGGATTTCAACAAAAATTAATCTGCCTTTGTGAATTATTTTGAAAAACAGATGTTATGCTTGATCATTTTCCTGTTGGCGCAACGTGATCTTTGTAGGGTGAATCTAATTTTGGCGCGTCGCCCTGCGGAGAAGTGTAAATACTCTTATTGGGCCTCATGCAAGGACCGTCCATATGAACAGTTTTGTTCTTAAGTTGTGCGTACGAGTGATTTAGGAGAATTTGTGGCATTCACCAATKTTYTCRTATTCTAACATTTTTTTCAGATACGAMCAAAATTCACGWGTGGTCCAGACCTGTCGTATATTTTACGAGCAGTCAGTCTGCTGTTATCCAGACGGATTTTTCTCATTAATAATTGTATATTTAATTAGTTTGAAGATATTTCAAGTTGAAAATAAATTACACTCCATAATTATGTTGACAAGAGGCTGTTTTGTTTGAACTGGAATTAGATTTTAACAACATAAATTGATTAGATTAAATTAAATTGGCTTTTAATGCTGTTGTATAACACTACAATATTAATATGAAGATCAAAAACTAAAAATCTTAAATTATGCATTGATTGAAKTTTGGAGATCAGGAGGGGGGAGACGGCCAGGCCGGGGTGGGGGGTTGCGGTGCGCGACTGCTCTTCTTCTGAATAAATGAAAAAGGCTAACACAGTTGTTTACACTTAAATTAAAAATATTTGACCAAAGAAAAACCAGAGCAAGACTACAGAGAGAGATGAATATGATTTAGGTTTTTATTTCTGTGACTGTATACGACCCACAGGAGACACGACATTAATAGCAGTAGTTATTTCATTTCCATTCTTTGGCTTTAGCAGCTCCTTTAATTCCACAGCTGATCTGCTAAAAAGGACAGATTTTCTGTTCTCGATCTCTGAGAGCAGGACTTAAATCTTCGAACTCGTGAAGTTTTTCCTTTTACTTTTCACTGTCATTTTCATGAATGGACACGTCCTGATATCTGAGACAGGAAACACAGCCTTATATGGTGTTTTGGGGTGGTTCTTATGCTAATCTACACTCCTTGTGCAGCTGGATGGAAGAATCTGACGTGGCATGTTGGTACAAATCATTCAAACGAACAAAGGTAAGAGAAATTTAGGATAAGAATACGAACATGTTCTTACATGCGGCCCATTGATCATAGTGGTTGCATATTTTCTGCAGGTCGGAGCAGAGCGGAGCCGCATCAAGTGTAAATTAAGGACAACTTCCAGGTCACAGGTCAACTGAGAAAACGTTGAGGTTGCTATTAAAATATGGCTGGAATTATGCAAATTCAACAAGTTCAAAAATCAGAGCTTAGATATCTATAAAAAACCTAATTTATGATTCTTAATAAAAGTTTAACACGTCATTTTAGAGCAAATAGATCTGGTCTGTATAACAGCAAAGATTTACTGGTTGAATTTGATTAATTTCGATGCCTTTTCCATAGAAACCTCTGTTGTCCAGAAAAATATGTGAGCTTGGACTGCTTTGCWCATTTATAGTATTTTTTAACTATGAAATGATGTACTGCAGGAACTTCCTAAAACAAATATGTTATGTTGGGGGRAAAATGTTCTGCTTTACATGTTTAAATTTCTGTTTCTATAAAGTAAACAAAMAGAAGATTGTGTAGACTTCAGAAAAATGCCTTTGTGAAAGTTTGCTTACCTTTGTGCCAGGTCTCCCCATACTCCCCCCCTCCTCTGATGTTGGCCACAGCTAAAACCCCTCCTAGATGTCGGACGAAAATGAGCCGAGACACGCTGTAGCTCGGCGTGATGGAGATGTTGAAGCCCCCGTAGCCRTACAGGAAACCCGGATGGGAGCCGTCCAGTTTGATTCCCTTCTTGTGAACAATAAACATGGGGATCTGAGTGCCATCCTTGGAGGGATAGAAGATCTGAGAAAATACAGACAAATTATTCAAGTGAGCTGAGGTGATGAAACAAAATAAGATGTTACATCATTCACATGGCTCTTTCAKTCTGAGTCATGAACAAATGACAACAGAAGAGCCATAAAAGTGATTCTCAGAGCGTTTGCAGATTTTTATGTTTGCTTTATTAACTCCAGCTGCATTAATTCAGTTAATGTTAATTTATTTATAGAGAACAGAAATACAACATAGAAACATCAGCTCTTAAATGCTTTGGAAAGAGTTCAGATTAAAAGATTATTTTTCAAGGGAGCACTGGTCAAAAATTAAACACCAGTTCCAACAACAGATAAACCATAAAAGTATATAATATGCACAAATTACATCAGCATGTATGAAACAGGTGAAAGTATCATATTAGGCCAGGGCTATCCAAACATTTTGTCACCTGGGCCAAAATCATAAAGTCAGAAGGACCTGAGGGCCAAAACTATTTCTCCTTTACCTGCTCAACAATAAACTAAGCATTTAATACTTTAATTAAATACATAAAGTAGTCAGATTTATTGAAATGGATGTGTAAATTAATCTAGATCCAAAACTTTAAAAGTGTTTTGCAGGTTTTCTTACTGATTTTTTTAGCTATTTTCTAGGTTTCAATTGGGGAAACAAATAACCAAATTTAGTCAATAAAATCAGGATTTAGGTCACCCTTTTGCTGAAAATGCTTGCTGTATTCAGATGAATTTAATAAATTAATTAAAAGCAGATTGGAGTGCAGCAAAATTAGCTTTTGAGTAGAAGTCACTAAATAGATGTGGAAAAAACTAAGAATCTGGTTATTTAAAGACAAATAATTGGCATTGTTGCAAATATTTGTTATAAGATTCTACTTTGTGATTAATTTGCCCTAATAATAAATAGAAAGTCTCCATCYACATCAAACACCTGTGCCGGGGGGACAAATTTGTAAACAAGTTAGTATAATTCTTGAACTGAAGTCAGGGGCCACATAAAATCAGTTCAGGGGCCACAAATGGCCCCCGGGCCACACTTTGGACATCCTGTATTAGGCCAAGCAGTGAAACAGACAAACTCCAATCAAGTCTTCTTCCACACCCRTCACCTTCTTTTAAAAAGTACTGATTGGAATCAGCCTCTGAAGCTTTAAAAGTTTTGTCCTTACCTGGGTGGTCTGATAATCTGTGGGATTAAAGCCTTTGACGGTGACCTCCCTGAAGATGTGTGGCTGCAGTGGCTCCTTGGTTAGGTCACAGTGATAAATGATGGCTTAAAATAAAAGAAGAGAACAAATAAAAATTTATATACATGTATTTTCTTACACAATAGTCTTAGTAGTGTTTACTTTTATTTATTTAGATGACTTTAACCTGATTATAGTACAGATTTATTGTATAGTCTTATAAGGATGTTGCAATCTTTGCTTTAAAATGTGTTTTTGTGGCTTTTATTGCACAAATAAACTGAGCTAAACTTAATCATTCAGCAGAATCAGCTCTTATTTGATAAAACAGCAACTATTTTACAAAATTACATTGTGATGAGTGGCAGTAAGTTAAGTTCAAACAAAGAACTGGTGTTTATAATGTGCTTTCATAACTTAATCTGCTCACTCTCATGCACTGTCCCTGGTTTAAACATGAAAGTGTCATTTTTAAATATGGTGTTATGAATTTAGCTTTCCCGCAATAATAAAATCAGTACAGTTCATCTGAAAGTTAGCTTCACATTATTTTGCTCTTTTTTATTTGACCCTTTACGTCCATGCTCTTTAACTTTAGAATGAAATGTCTTCTCCAACAGGACAAATTGATTGTATTTATCAAAAATTAAACACTTTAGCTGCTTCGTACCTGGAGATAAAAAGGAGGTGAAATAGTAGAAAATCTCAGAGTCCCTCTTTCGTCCCGTGAAGCCCACTATAGAGCCGACATCGAGAGGAAAGGTCCTCAGCTCCTCCCCCGAGCTCAGACGGTACATCTTCAACACATTCTTCACATCGTGGAGGAAACACACAAACAGATAGCTGGAGTACGTACAGGTGGCAAACACTGGAGGAAACAAACCAGAAGACTGTTTTTATCTGGTGTCGGGCTAAGAATGATAATATTWTCTTGTAGTTTGGTCACAACAGCTCACCAATAACATCCTTGTCGTGTTGAGGAATCAGCTCCTTCCAGCTGCTCTGATCAGGAGAGGCAAAGTCGATGTTAATGAGTCGGTAACGCGGGGCGTTTAGGTTGGTCTTGAAGGTAAATAACGTGCCCTCGTTTGTCACGTATTCATACTCGGCGTCAAAGTTATCGATTAGCTTCACCCACGGCAACAGTCCTAAAACAAACAAGTTTGAATGTGAGCGTTGAACAATTAATTTAAAAAGGTTGTTCGAAAAATAGAAGCATTTTTACTGCTTTAACCTGAGACTACTCTTTTTCTCAGTTTTGTTACAAAATCTGTTTTTAAACAGTAGCTGTGGCTCAAAGGACTTTCTACATTTACATTTTTATTATTCAAGTTTCAATCCTTTATTC